TTCCCTGTTATTCAGCTTTAAATGGTTTTTTCCTTCAGTTGTACATAATTGAATTTATATTCTTTTTAGTTAAATGTAAGAATTAGAAGTACTGTTATACAGTAAGCTATATGGAACATAAAATGATAATTATGCTTATATTATAAATTTATTTAATACATAAATATCAATGTTTGGGAAAGAATAATGACATTTGTATCCAGTTTAGCTTTACACTCCCTGAGAATAACACTATTACATACTTTAGATGTTAAAGAGAAATGCTTTCAAATAGCAATAGAAGATGTACTCTCATCTCAGTGTTTACAAATGAAACATCGACACTGAAAAATAACCTGGTGTTCTTTTGTTAACTTAAAAGAATTCAAAATAACACATAAAGCAGAATTATCTTTTTAATGCAACACTATATCATTAACTTTCAATCTGCACTTTGGTGTACATCTGAGTCAAAACCAAACATAACATGCATCTTTAAATTTTTTTCATAAATTGTGCTTCTTCTTATAGAATTAATATGAAACATAGAGTACTTTTAATAAGATGAATGTAACTTCTGTCATTGAACATGTAATGAATATTATCATAGACTGTATTTAAATCTGAAACATATAATGTGTTCATCCAAAATAACTTTACATTCAAGTAAACTTTTATAATTTATATAGTATAGCAGTTAGAAAAATATAATTCCAAATTCTCTGATACTTCTAATCAAGAGGTGTGGTCTAGGTACTCTCCTATTTAATTGGCTGATTTGTAAGCATTTCCATGAATAGGATAAGTTGCAAGTGATTCTCTAGGACTTCTACCTGGCTCTTTTGGAATTCTCAGTCTCGAGCAGCCAGATCATATATAGATCATGTGATCAACTGTCCCAATTAAGACAGATATGTAAGTGATGAGACATCTACCTCACATTGTCCTTGAATCACAAAATTCTCTTCTTTAAATGAAGCCTAATTTATCTGCATTTTCTTTTCTTTTTTTTTTTTAAAGATTTTATTTATTTATTTGAGAGAGAGATCACAAGTAGGCAGAGAGGCAGGCAGAGAGAGAGGGAAGCAGGCTCCCCGCAGAGCAGAGAGCCCGATGCGGGGCTCGATCCCAGGACCCTGAGATCATGACCTGAGCCAAAGGCAGAGGCTTTAACCCACTGAGCCACCCAGGCGCCCCTATCTGCATTTTCAATTGTCAGCTGTACTTTATCTGTAATATCCAAGAAACCATTGTCTAACCTAAGGTCATAAAAATTTATTCCCTATGTTTTAAGAATTTGTAATCTTACAAATTCTTATAATGTAATTTGTAATTTTACAAATTCTTATAATGTAATATTATAAATTTACATATTTATGTCCACAAATCACTTTGAGCTGTGTATAGTGTGACACTGGGATCCAGCTTTATTCTTTTTCATGTGGATACTCCATTGTTCCCAGGATCATTTGTTAAGAAGACTGTTTTCTCCCCACTGACTTTTCTTAGTGCTCTCTTAGAAAATCATTTGATCAGCTTTTTGTTTATTCATTTTTTTGGTAGAGTTCACATAGGAGTAAAATCATATGGTATTTGTTTTTCTCAGTTTGACTTATTACACTTTACATAACACCCTTCAGGTCCCTTTATGTTGTTGCAACCTATAAATACAGAGAACAAACTGATGGTTACCAGACAAGAGAGGGGTAGGAGAATGGGCAAAATTACTGCAAAAGAATAAGAAATACAAGCTTCTAGGTATAGAATCAATAAGTCATGGAAATAAAAGGCACAGCATAGGGAAAATATTCAATGATATTGTAATAAATTGGTGACAGTAGCTACACCTGTGGTGAGCATAACATAAGAGAGAAATTGAATTACTACACTGTATACCTCAAAGTAATGTAACATTTTGTATAAACCATACTCAAATAAAAAAAATCATTTTATCATAAATGTAAATTTCATTTCTGAGCTCTCTATTTTATTGATCTATAATGGCTGTGCTTATTATCAATATTATATTATCTTCAAGTTGTAGTAAGTTTTTAAATCAGAAAATGGGAGTCCTCCAACTTTTTTCTTCTTAAGATTGTTTTAGATATTCTAGATTCCTTAAATTTCCATATGAATTATAGTATCACCTCATCGATTTCTGTAGAATAGGCATCCAGGATTTTGATAGGCATTACACTGAATCTGTAGATCATTTGGAGGGTAATGTGATTTTAACAATAGTAACAATCCACAACCAGGGAATGATTTTTCATTTATTACAACTTGTTTAATTTCTTTGAGGAATGTTTTACAATTTTTAGTGTACAAGCCTTTTTATTTTTAGATATTAGTGTTTTTATTTTAATTCCAGTTAGTTGACATACAGTGTTATATTTGTTTCAAGTATACAATATAGTAATTCAACAATTCCATACATCACCGAGTGCTTATCACAGCCTATATGTTCTTTAATCCCCATCACCTATTTAACCCCTCCCTCCACCCCTCTCCCTTCTGGTAAGCATGTTTGTTCTCTATAATTAAGAGTCTGTTTCTTGGTTTGTCTCTCTCTTTTTCTCCCTTTGCACATTCAATTGATGAATGAGTAAAGAAGGTATGGTACGTATATAGAATGGAATATTATTCAGCCATAAAAAGAATAAAATCTTGCCATTTGCAACAACAGGGATGGCGATAGAGAGTAAAATGCTAAGTGAAATAAGTCAACCAGAGAAAGACATATACCATATGACTTTACTAATATGTAGGATTTAAGAAAAGAAGCAAAAGAGTACTAGTCTTATTTTGTAAAATTAATTCTTGAATATTTTATTGATTCTGATACTATTGTAAGTGGAATTGTTTTCTTAATTTCATTTTCTGATTGTTCATTGCTAGTATATTGGAAAAGAATTTAATTTTCTGTGTTGATCTTGTAACCTAAAACTTTTGCTGAATTCATTTATTCTAATAGGTTGTGTGTGTGTTCTTTAGGATTTTTAAATGTACGCATATGCAAAAAGAAGGCTTTCTTTCTTTCTTTCTTTCTTTCTTTCTTTCTTTCTTTCTTTATCATCCTTTATTCCTAATTTCAATCTTGGTATAATTTTTTCTTTTTCAAGCCTAGTTGCCCTAGGAAGAAAACCCATCACATATTGTCTTTTATTCTAATAATATGGTTCCAGTACATTGAGTGATTGATTTTTGCTTATTAAACCAAATAAGCCTTTCAGGGATCACTGACTTTTGTTTCTCCCTCTATTTTATTTATTTCTGCTCTAGTATTTAGTATTTGCTTCCTTATACTTGCTTTGAATTTAGTTTACTAATTACGGTCTCTCTTTTTCTTTTTTGTTTTTTTAAATTTTTTTATTTCTTTTCAGCGTAACAGTATTCATTGTTTTTGTACCACTCCCAGTGCTCCATGCAATCCGTGCCCTCCCTAATACCCACCACCTGGTTCCCCCAACCTCCCACCCCTCGCCACTTCAAAACCCTCAGGTTCTTTTTGAGAGTCCATAGTCTCTCATGGTTCACCTCCCTTTCCAATTTCCCTCAACTCCCTTCTCCTCTCCATCTCCCCTTGTCCTCGATGTTATTTGTTATGCTCCACAAATAAGTGAAACCATATAATTGACTCTCTCTGCTTGACTTATTTCACTCAGCATAATCTCTTCCAGTCCCGCCCATGTTGCTACAAAAGTTGGGTATTCATCCTTTCTGATGGAGGCATAATACTCCATAGTATATATGCACCACATCTTCCTTATCCATTCGTCCGTTGAAGGGCATTTTGGTTCTTTCCACAGTTTGGCAAACATGGCCCTTGCTGCTATAAACATTGGGGTACAGATGGCCCTTCTTTTCACTACATCTGTATCTTTGGGGTAAATACCCAGTAGTGCAATGGCAGGGTCATAGGGAAGCTCTATTTTTGATTTCTTGAGGAATCTCCACACTGTTCTCCAAAGTGGCTGCACCAACTTGCATTCCCACCAACAGTGGAAGAGGGTTCCCCTTTCTCCACATCCTCTCCAATGCATGTTGTTTCCTGTCTTGCTAATTTTGGCCATTCTCAGTGGTGTAAGGTGGTATCTCAATGTGGTTTTAATTTGAATCTCCATGATGGCTAGTGATGATGAACATTTTTTCATGTGTCTGAGAGCCATTTGTATGTCTTCATTGGAGAAGTGCCTGTTCATATCTTCTGCCCATTTTTTGATATGATTGTCTGTTTTGTGTGTGTTGAGTTTGAGGAGTTCTTTATAGATCCTGGATATCAACCTTTTGTCTGTACTGTCATTTGCAAATATCTTCTCCCATTCCGTGGGTTGCCTCTTTGTTTTCTTGACTGTTTCCTTTGCTGTGCAGAAGCTTTTGATCTTGATGAAGTCCCAAAAGTTTATTTTGGCTTTTGTTTCCTTTGCCTTTGGAGACATATCTTGAAAGAAGTTGCTGTGGCTGATATCGAAGAGGTTACTGCCTATGTTCTCCTCTAGAATTCTGATGGATTCCTGTCTCATGTTGAGGTCTTTTATCCATTTGGAGTTTATCTTTGTGTACGGTATAAGAGGATGGTTGAGTTTCATTCATCTACATATAGCTGAAAAAAGACAGTCTCTTCAATAAATGGTGCTGGGAAAAATGGTCTCTCTTTTTCAAAGTAGTAATGAAGGTAACATACTGTTGTTGTTTTTCATTTCATAAAAGTGTCTCTTTATTGCAGTCTACTCATTTTTTAAAAATTTCCTCTCTGTTTTTACCCAGTAAGTAGCATACTAGATATTCCCGTTCTCATTTTTTTTCACTTAACATTATGTCCTGGAAATAATGAAACTGTTTAAAACACAACCTCATTAAAAGTTCACAGTTTTTATTTCAGATTTAGCTTTATGGTAATTTACTTACAACTTTATAAAAATGAGAGAAAATGCTACTGTACATTTGTTTTAAATTTGAAATCTCCTGATTTCACAGATCTGTTTTTCCATTTAGTGGACTAAATACATTCCTTTTTGTAGCTCAGGATAAAGTACCTGATGAAAATATTGGACTTGAGGATGAAGCAGTATCAAGCACACTCACGCAAATGTTTAAACAAAGAACTTCTAGGATGAATAGACGCAATGGTCAGTATAACAATTATAGATATCTTTAAATTATTTTAAGTTAAGCACATCAAAAGATCTTTTTTCTTTGCTTCCTATTATGTATTTGTTGGGGCACATGTTTTGTAGATATTTTACACTTTGACATAAATGTGAATACCCTAAGATAACCAGACAACTAAAGTAAAAGCTTTGATACATTTTGCTTGATATTTGCATGGTCAATGACTACTATATAACAAGACTGTCTCCACACACATTTATGAAAACTACACAAATTTTCTACTTCACTTCCATGATCTATAAAAATAAACAGATTTTACTTACACTGTAGCTTTGCAGTTATCTTCCTTTAACTTTAGCTTCCTTTAACTTCCTTTAAGTTGTCCTTCCTTTAAATGAGAAGAAATACTGCTGATTACTTGGTATATGCAAAAGTTTTATAATAGATCTGTTTGTTTTTTTAGCATTTCTTGTACCTCAGCAAAAGGATATGTTGTCTACTGCAAATCAGTTGCCTGAGGGCATGGCTTTAATTTTAAGAAGCCTATCTCAAGATAAGAATCTTAAATCTACCAGAAGTGAGAGCTTTGATAGTAAGTAATTAATTTAAAATCCTGTAAAATTATTTTCAAATAAATTCAGAAAGTTTTTTTTTCTATAGTTCATGAATATGTCTGCAATTATTTTGTTCATGCTTCTAGGTCTTTATTGTATGTTCCATAATTACTGAGTTAGATGTTTTAGATGTTTTAAATTTCTATGATTATGGATTTCTTTATTTCTTATATTAGGTTTTGCTTCAGAACTTATGACATCATATTTATAAATATATTTATATATAAATATAATACTATATAATAATATAAAATATAAAACACATAAATATAAAATATTTTATATATATATATATATTTAAAATTAATAATTTCCCTGGAGGGAAGACCCCTTTGTTCTAATGAAGGGTCCCATTTTTATAATTTTTATGTTTGCCTTAAAAGCTACCATATCTGCTATTAACGTAGCTCCTATCATCTTCTGGTTGGTATATGCAAGATACTTTACTTTTCTGTTTTGTTTCTTTAACTTTCTTGTGTCTTTATGATTTTTCTCTATCTTTTGTATGAAACTTATAGTTGTGTTTTCAAATTCATTCTGATATCTTTGTCTTTTCATCATCATTCATAATCACACTTGATCCAATTTTGGTGTTTTGAGGTTATATTGCTCCATTTTACTTGTGCTTTATGTTTTCCTGCCTGATAAGTTTCTTTTACTCTTCTTTGCTCTATATTTTTATAATTTTTACATACTTTTCCTTAGACATGTCTGATAACCAATATTTCAGTGTAACTCTAAAGTATGTATAGGCCAAGAGAACTAGAAAATATTATAAATTATTACTATTAATACTAAATATTAGATTTTAAAATTATTGAACTCTGAGTATCTGAAAAATAACAAGATTGATTCTGCTTGCACAGTGAATAATCTGGTCACATATGTTGTACTTCAGTAATTTCTTTTAATAGTTTATTTTATTTATTTATTTATTTTTTGTTTTTATAAGTTCCATAGTTTTTTTTTTTAATTTTATTTTTTATAAACATATATTTTTTTCCCCAGGGGTACAGGTCTGTGAATCGCCAGGTTTACACACTTCACCGCACTCACCATAGCACATACCCTCCCCAATGTCCATAATAACTCCACCCCCCCTCTCCCAACCCCCCTCCCCCCAGCAACCCTCAGTTTGTTTTGTGAGATTTAGAGTCACTTATGGTTTATCTCCCTCCCAATCCCATCTTGCTTCATTTACTCTTCTCCTATCCCCTTAACCCCCATGTTGCATCTCCTCTCCCTCATATCAGGGAGATCATATGATAGTTGTCTTTCTCTGATTGTCTTTTAATAGTTTATTACCACAAAATATGATTTGCTCATATCACTAAGAAATAAGACAACAAATTGTTGAGTATTTAATATATATTGCAAATCTAGTACTCCCATCACAGATCAGGGACTCTTTAGTGAATTTAAAAATCTATCTTATAGCCCAGAGGATGGATGAAATATCAGTTAATGTTTTGTTTAACCCTTAGAGCTGCCAGAGATTCAGTAACAAATATAATTATTAAAATTAATAAATCATTTAAATTAATTTAATTAGTTTTGATTAAATTTAGCAGAATTTGACTCATCAATGCATATACCAGTACTACCTTACACATATTCACTGTCAAGTTTTTTTTAAATATTTTAAAATTTATTTCTTGATTTTTTAGAATTTTGTTATTCATTTCACCATTTATTGAGAGATACATATTGAATTTTCTTACTATGCTTTTAGATCTATCTGTTTCTTCTCATATTTCTGTACTCTTTTCCTTATATTACTTATGTTTGGGGTGCATGCAGATTTAAAAAAATTATGTATTTCTGGTGAACTCTCTCTTTTGTTAAAGAGATCATCTTACTCTTTGGTAAGGTCTTTTTGAGTTAAATTTTATTTTGTCTGACATTGACATAACTATAGTAGATTTGTTTACTATATGCAAGTCATATCTTTTTTCATCTATTTTAATTTACACTTTCCTATATTCTTAGACTTTAGTACAGTATATCTTAGTTTATAGTTTGCTTATAAACCCAGTTTGCTTTTCTCTGTTTCTAGAATATGTAATCCATTTACAATTCTTATAATTATTGCTATATTTAATTTCAGTATTTGGGGTAATTTCTATTTTTCCCATCTTAATTCATTTTTCCTTTCTTTTATTTATGTTGGAATCATTATTTTTATTCATTCTAACTTTTAAATAAATACTGTCTTAAAATTTGAAAACATCTGGTGCACCCAGGTGACTCAGTTTGTTAAGTGTCTACCTTCTGCTCAGGCATGATCCCAGGGTCATGGGATCAAGCCCTGTGTTGTGCTCCTTGCTTGGGGAGGCAGAGAGGCTTCTTCTCCCTCTCCTCTTTCCCCTCCCTCCCACTTGTGCTCTCTCTCATTCTCAAATAAAAGCTTAAACAATATAAAAGCTTCTTAAAAAAAGTGAATATGCTTTAAAAAATAAGGTCCATGTTCAACTTCTTAATTTTAATATATAGTAACAGAATACCTCCATGTCCTTTCAATAAAAGCACTGTATTTTGAAAATTTACCACTCTTATTTAAACAGTTGTCATTTGCTTAAAATTTTATAAAAATTAGAGGACACTTGGGTGTTTCTTGATATATTTTAATAATTTAGAGGCTTCATCATGAAAAAAATCACATTTTAATGGATGAAAAGGTCTCTTTTCTGCATGAGAAAATGGATAAGTCGTCAGAAAAATTTTTTTACCTGAAGATAAAGTTTTAATATCAAGAAAACAATCTTAAATTAAGAATCTTGGAACTTCCAGAAAACTGTTTTTGACAATCTGAATATGATGTGCATCTATGTGGATGTCTTTCAATTTAGTTTGAATTTGTTGAGTTGCTTTATATGAAGCTTGAATATCATAATATTTGAGAAGTTAATGACTATTATTTCTTTGAAAATGATTTTTTCTTTTTCTTCTTTCTCTGTGAGATGCCCATTTTGCATGTGTTGATACTCTTGATAGTTTTCCATCAATCTCTGAGGCTCTGTTCATTGTTTTCATTCTTTTTCTTCCTGCTTCTTAGACTGGATAATATCAATATATATCTCCTCATTTTCACTGATTCCTTCTTTGCCTTTAAAAAAAAAAGATTTTGTTTATTTGAGAGAGAGTGAGAGAGTGTGCACAAGAGCAGGGAGAGGGGCAGAGTAAGATGCAGGCTCCCTGCTGCACGAGGAGCCTGATGCAGGGCTCCATCCCAGAACCCTGGGACAATGGCCTGAGCTGAAGGCAGCCAACTAAACAACTGAATCACTCAGGTACCCCTCTTCTTTGCCTTTTTAATCCTACCTTTGGTTCTTTTTATTTCAATTATTGTGCTTTCAACTATAGAATTTATATTTGATCTTTTTAAAAAAAATTCTATCATGTTATTGATATTCTCTGATGGTAAGATATTATCCTTATCATTTCCTTTAATTCTTTAAGGTATAGTTTATTTTAGTTATTTGAACATATTTTTGAATGCTAGCTTAAAATCTTTGTCTAGACAAACATAATCATCATCACACGTAGAACTTTCCTTCTAAGATTAGGAACAGAACTAGGATACCCACTTTCCCACTTTTATTCCTAGCCACAGCAATCAGACAAGAAAAGTAAATAAAAGGCATCCAGATTGGTAAGGAAGAAAACCTACAGTATTTGCAGGTGACAGGATACTACATATAGAAAATTTTAGAGACGCCACTATAAAACTCTTAAACCTAATAAATGAGTTATGTAAAGTTGCAGGATACAAAATTAATATTCAGAAATCTATTGTGTTTCTATACACTAATAAAACAACATAAAGAATAATTAAGAAAACAACAGCATTTAAAATTGCACTGAAAAGAATAAAGTACCTTGGAATGAACTTAATCCTGGAAGAGAGAGACCAATCTTCTGAAAACTATAACATAGATTAAAGGAATTGAAGACAACACAAAGAAATGGGAAAATTTTTCCATTCTTACGGATTTCAAGAATTAATATAATTAAAATGTCATATTAACCCAAAACAATCTACAAATTCAATGCAATTTCTATCACTGCATTTCACATATCTAGGACAAATAATCCTAAAACCCTGAATAACCAGAGCAATCTTGAGAAAGAACAAAACTGGAGGCATGAAAATCCATATTTCAAGATATGCTATAAAGCTGTAGTAATCAAAATAGTATGGTACTGGCACAGAAATAGGCACATAGATCAATGGAATAGAATAAAGAGCCCAGAAATAAACCCACGCATTTATGGCAAATTATGAGAAAGAAGCCAAGAATAAACACTGGGGGAAAAACAGTCTCTTCAATAAATCGTGCTGGGAAAACTGAACCAGTCTTAAACCATAAACAAAGTAAACTCAAAATGAAACCATAACACTCCTAGAAGAAAACATAAGCAGTAAACTCTTTTTTTTTTAAGTAAACTCTTTGACATTGGCCTTAGACATATTTTTCTTGATAGTTCCCCTCAGGCAATAGAAAAGCAAAAATAAACTATTAGTACTACACCAGTATGGAAAACTTTTGCACAGTGAAAGAAACCATTGTCAAAATGAAAAGAGAACTTATTGAATGGGAGAAGATATTTACAAATGCCATATCTGATACAGGGTTAGTACCTAAAATACATACAACCTTACATAATTCAACACCAAACCCACAAATAATCCAATTTAAAAGGTGGGCAAAGAACCTGAAGAGATATTTTTTTTTAAAGAAGACCTGCAGATGTCCAGAAGACACATGAAAAGATGCTGACCATCACTAATCATCAGGGAAATGCAAATCAAAACGACAATGAGATTTTACCTTAGACTTGTCAGAATGACTAAAATCAAAATGACAAGAAATAACAAGTATTGGTGAGTATGTGGAGTAAAAGGAACATTCATACACTATTGGTAGGAATATGATTTGTGAACTGGTGGAAAATAGTAGGAAGATTCCTCAAAATA